CATTACAACTCTTAGCTTAATGGGGTTCCTCTTCAGCTAAAATCAAAGTGTTTTTCCACTACTGAAGTTCCTTTCCTACGTCATGAGCAGAAATCATAGAAGTCCATAATAAACACAGTATTCTGACTGAGATACTGCCTAGAATTAAACTGGGACAATATACTTGATCAGATTAACACATTCAGGAATTCTTTTACACATTGCAAAGACAGCAACTTCTGAGTTTATTTAAATGACAATTGCAATATACATGTATTTGTGCCCTGGACTCACAAACCATTGGCATGTTCTCTCCTAGAGCATTAGTGTTAATGACTTAATTGCTATCAATATTTTTCCTTTCCCTTCTTGATTTTTTTTCTGGTCATATTGATTATCGGCTTTATCATGAAGAAAGACCATATCTTGTACAGTAACTTAGACCGCCAGAGGGACATAGAGTTTTGTTCCTCATTTGTATAACCTCTCTTGAGGTGCCAAAACAGAATCTCTCCAATCACAAAAATAAAACACAGAGGAATTTTTTGAGAGTTTTATTCCTCGATAAGTAATTTGTAGGGCGATGGAAAGAAGACATTAGGCCAAGGAATACAAAATTTTTCAGAGGTTAAAGTGAAATACAATGTGTGGTGCCTGCTGCTTCTTTCATGTGCACCAGCAGATGTGAAGGATAATTCCAGTCTTCAGGCATGTCTTCACTGTGGAAGAAAATAGACCTCCTATATGGAAGCACCTCACAGTGGCTCTGCACGTCAGAAGTGACAACAGATTCTCAGCTGGCTCTTGAGGACAACCTCCTCCAGACGCTGCTGTATTGACATCTCCTTCCCCAGCAGCTCCTTCTTCGCAGAAGGAGAATCTTCCAGCTCTGTCAGAAATCTTTGACATAAGGCCCTACTCTACCCTCACACTTGAAACTTGATGTTACTTGGATGTTAATTCCCAGAGGGGAAACTTGATGTCTTCCTGCTACTCCCTGCACTCTGGCTGGGGCTGAGGATAGCACTTGCTTGGGACTTAGCTTTCCTTCTGTGACAAATAAGGAAAAAAGGCAGACAAGCAAAACAGTGAAGTTGCAAGTCTCAACTATTCCATTTGAGCAAGGTGGTTCCCTGGCAGCCTGTGATGACCTCCCATCCCAAATCCCCTGTAATTTTGATCAGGAGCCCTTTGCATGCTGGCCCTTTGGCATGCTGGGATGAACAAGAGTCCCGCAGGTCTCTCTGCAGTGCGCCACAGGGCTACCCCAGCCCCAGTACCCTTCTGAACCAATGCAGTAAGTAACCCCCAGATTAAAACAGATCAGGTTTCCTAATAATCTGTGTAGGAGATTTGGACACACAGTCACATTGAGGTTGGCAGGTGTTGTATATCAGTGCCCACTAGACCACTTTGTGTTTTCCTGTTCATGTAAGTAAGCCTGCACACCGCCTCCTTTTCCCCTGTAACTGAATGGCCCATCACCCCAGGCTGCAACCCCTTGGTTACTGGAGAATGAAACCAGCTGGCTTGCTGAGGCATTTCTCAATATCCCAAACCCATCCTTATTTCCTTTCATTATGTCCCTACCTGTCGCATTTCTTGTAGAGAAAGGAACAAATGCATTAATTAGAGTGCGGTGAGCACTGCCGCCTGCGCCCACCCCTCACTGCCTCCACAACCTCACAGAGATTTCACTAAAACATATAATTAGGTTCTGCAAAGTGACTTCCTGACTGTATGTGCTCTTTTCAAGTGCAGGAGCCCTAAGTGGTGCTGTGTGTTTTTCAGAGCTTCTTTGAATACCACTTCATTTTTCTGGCTTTTGTTTACAAGGTTGTATTTACTTACCTCTTTAGCAGTGCCCAAATACATCAAAGCCAGGTTCATTTTAAAGAATCTAAAAGCCCATGGATGATGTCACTTACTGGCCTGAATTTTACATGTTCTGAAAAAAGCGTAAAGGCTGTGTTTGCACATGCACTTTTCTGTGCTTGTCTCTCCATCCTTACACTAAGTTTGCTAAGAATATGTAAAGAAATCCCATCCTGAGCAAGGGTTGTTCTAAACATAGTCTGAAATGCTCTGCTAACACAGGGTGTACCAAGCTCATTCTGTGCTGAATCTGTATCAAAGTGTTTTTGAGATAAATTACAATTTAATGTAAAGCCTCTTTGGAGCTTTAAGTATTTTTCTTCTGTTCTCACACTCTTCAAGTGGGGTCTGCTGGTCCAGTTGTGGAATTTTTCTTTCAGCCACCATTGTTTTCATGATGGAAATGAGCTGTTAAGAAGAAACATTCCTCAAAAGCATCCATACTCAAAATTGATATACCTTACTAAAGGCACTTACTGCAAAATGGAATCCCCTGTAACATAAACATCCCCTCCTCGCCCTGGGTGTGCTTCAGCCGGGGCTGTGAGAGCTGCCCTGGCCTCTCTCCCCAGGCCAGCTTCAGCTTCACCTGCCAGGTGACAGTGTGTCCTGCTCTGGCTGTGGCTTTGTAGATGAGGGCTGAGGGTCCCATCTGACCTGACCTGAAAGCTGTCTGGGAGCCAGTGAAGACTTCAGGCACAGAGGTTATACCTGCACAGCCCCTGCTTTACAAGGTAGACCTGTACACTGGCAACCTGATACATCCTTGTGACAAATACTTGGATCAGGCCAGCCAGATCTCTCTCTAGGGGAAAAAAAGCAAGCAAGCATTTTATGATGACCTGTTTTTTCCTATCCCCGGTGTTGGGAGTGTGTTTGTAGTCTGAAGGTAGTTCCAAAAGGGGCCGCCAGCCCCAGGCAGGCAGTGCTTTTCTTGGAAAGCAGCACTTCTGAAATGAAAAACAGACAGGGAAAATAAAGACAGGCTGAGATGTACAAGCAAGGAGAGATTGAAGGACCAGTGCTGCTGTTTGTTGTTCCTTTTGTGTGGATGGTACCAGATTGTAGTCCTTGCCTCACACCTCCACACAACCCGAATATCCTTCAAAATATCCTAGTTGCTTCTAATGATGAGCTCACAAAACACTTTTTTGTATGTTAATACAATAATCCAGGACACTAATAAATACACAGAGGTATCTAGAATTTTTCATTATATGCTTTTGATTTTTCAGCTTCCATTTAGGAGAAGAACTAAACTGCTAAACCTAAAGTAAATGTACTTAACTACCACATCACTAGCAGAAATTCACACACTCAAGAGAGAGCAGGCAGTGACACCCTAAGAGTTCTCCTTTTCACACAAACATATCACTTTCTGGTTAAATCACTATCAGTGCAGATTTCATCACATGGGTGCCAAATCCCAGATCTGAGCTTTCTATTTTCGTGCGCTGTTTTCTTAGGGATGGCCTAAACAGATCTAATTAAAAGAATGAGCAATTATAAGATTGTTTGGATCCCTGTAAGTGACAGGATCCAAGGCCATTGTGGATCTTGTGGCGTTTACAGGAAGTTTTGCCTCTCTGACGTGGTTTAGCTCCTAGGAGCTGCATGCTGTGTCATCATACCTGTCCTGTTTGCCCAGTTCTCAACAGGGCTTGTTAGCTGGGTCAGTGCCTGCATTAATATGGCCATCAAAGGTTTTGCTGATTCGGAAGATGGCAGACAGAGCTTTTTCCTGACAATGAACATCGAGATAAAACATAGGCAAGTCCTGCCGGGAGATTGTCAAGTCCCTCCAATTCAATGAGTGTCCTGTATACTTGAGGTGTCTGCATTGCCAAGAAATCTTGCTGAGTTTGATACGTTGATTTTACAGATGAGAAATGTTGGCACAAGTAGAAGGAAATGTGAGAAAAAAGCAAGAGGAGAATCTTTAAGAAATTAACTTGCAAGAATTTCTGCTCTGACCCCCAGTCCTGTTCTTATACACCTACGTTCCCTGAAAGGTGCCATGGGGAAATAGGGAAGCAGCTGTGACAGCAGCAACAGGCAGGGACTGTACGTACAGCGAGGAGCTGAGGAGAGCGTGGTGAGGCTCTGCGCTCTTTTAAGACACAGCACACCATGTAAGAGTCATGCTTTTCAGGCACGCTCTTGGAAGCTCTAGGCACAAGTACAAGGAGGTGGTTTGAAATTACTGCATATGTCTTCTTGCAATACTTACACTCCAGGGACCACCCACGTCACAGGATGTGTTTGAATTGCTCACCAAGCTTTCTTCTGGAGCCGAGATGAAATTACAGACTCTTTTTTTCCCAGAGTGCAAGAAAAATTAGCAACTTTCTGAATTATTACTATTATTACTGAGGCACTTTTTAAAAAAGGTCCTATTCTCTAAGAATGTGCAAGCACTGGGGGAAATCTTTGCACATCTTCAGCTCCTTTAACTGCTGGTTACTTAACCTTAGCTTGTAAAAAAAATGTATGGAGGTAAAACCAGATTCCTCTTCCTTGCAAACCAGTTTAAGCAAGTTGAGGAAAGGATATGGGATGGGAAGATGAAGAAAAGATGTGTTATTTCCTATAATTTTCTGTTTCTATATTTACATGACTGAAATTCTGTGGATACTCTTGTGCACTGAAACAATATATTTTAGTTTTAATTGTTTCAGTCAATGTCAATTTTACATCAAATGTGCAATAAAATAAAAGTGGCCTTTCAGAAACATCACTGAACCTTATTTTGTGCTGCAGTATTGCCAGTGTAAACATCTATTTCTGTTTTGTAAGCCCAAAGCCAAATGGACAAAAAATTTTCTCTCAGGAAGACTACTGACCTGTCAGCATCAAAAATATTTTTAGCATATAAAAATTGTTTGTCAGTGATTGTAATAACAAGAATCTTTGCAAAATCCATTATTACTCTAATAAACATTTTCTTTTAGGCAGAAATAGGAGGAAATTAATTTAAAAGTTAGCTGATAGCAACTGGATAAGATATAAAGTATCACGACTATGAAGTTACCAGGATAAAATATATTTTCTTTCCATTTACATTATTAAATATTTACCATAGCTCTGAGAAAATACCCAATGTGAAGCATTCTGATAAGTTATAATTTATTCTGCTTGCTTTCCAGAATGCTAGAAGATGACCTCAAGTTAAGCAGTGATGAGGAGGAGAATGACCAGGTAAGAGCCAGACAAGTAACATGTCACTTGAAGCATGTTTCATGTCGAGACTGAGCTACTGCAAATATTTTGCTAATGCTTTTTCTAAACATACATAAAGGTTATCAAAATACATGGCAGTACTGTAACTGGAGTAACAGATGTTGCTGCTCGGAGCCAGCCTGCATGTGCTAACTGCTGGATTGGTAGGGAACAGGCTGCAGTGCTCTTGATTTATTACCTTGATGCGACCCAGAAGGTTTTTGTATCAGCTTCCTTCTGATTTGAATTTGTTTTCTTTAAAAGAGTGGCCAAGGAGGGGAGAAACAGGAATTCTGGATTAAGGGTTCAGGCCAACTTTGCAATCACGAGCTGGCCCTGGGGATTAGCTGTTGGGCTGCTTATCTCTTACCTGCCTCCAGCATCTCCCCAGCCCTGGCCTCTGAGCATTTTTGGTCCTGACTTTGCATGGCTCATGCCTGCTAAGAAAGCTAAAGAGAACTGAAGAAATCCTTGGCTGTGCATTTGATTCACTCTGTAACACAGTGATTACAGCAACTGCCTGTGTTTTAAACACCCTAAACTACCTGACTGGCAGATACACCATCCAATGTTTTCAATGTGTCAGGAGAGCTGGGTTTTGTTGGCTGTAGGAGGTGTTTCCCAAGTTTTCCTTAAAATATTGCTGTGTTTTGTCTAAATAATTAAGGACTCAGTAGAATAAGGCTGGAGCTTGACTTTCCCATGACCAGCTGAGTGCTTTGTTGCCAAGCAGTGCTGCGCTGTTTTCTCTCCTTCTCAATATCCTGGCATGGATAATTTGGTTAGAAATGAGAAGCCAAGACCTCCTTCCCTTTCTTCTTTCCCTAAAATGCACAAGCCATGCCTTCACCAGAGTATATGAGGGAAGTACTGCTCCTGGTTGCATCTCACAGATATAATGTGGTTTTCTGTCCTGGTTTTGGCTGGGATAGAGTAATTTTCTTCTTTCTAGCTGGTACAGTGCTGTGGTTTGATTCAGTGTGAGAACAGCGTTGATAACTCCCTGATGTCTCAGATGTTGCTGAGCTTACCCCAAGTCAAGGACTTTTCAGTGTCTCCTGCTCTGCCAGCGAGCAGGTGCACCAAAAGCTGGGGGGGCCCATGGCCAGGACAGCTGCCCCAAACTGGCCAAAGGGATTTCCCTTCCACAGAACATTATTTCCAGTACATAAACTGGGGGGAGTTGGCTGGGAGGCACCAATCACTGCTTGGGAATGGGCTGGGCATCAGTCATTGGATGCTGGGCAATTGTATTTTGCATCACTTGTCCTTTGGAATTTATTTCTCTTTTGTTGTCTCCCTTCTCATTGCAGTTGTTATTCTTATAATATTATTATTTTATTTATTTTATTTCAGCTGTTAAACTGTTCTTATATCAACTCACAAACTTTTTTTTTTTACTTTTTTTTGTTTGGTTTTGTTTGGTTTTGTTTCCTGCCTCTCCTCCACATCCCACTGGGGTAGGGGGAGTGAGCAAGTAGCTGCATGGTACTGTTGCTGGCTGAGGCTAAACCATGCGAGCTTCAAATATGATTATTTCAGTCACGGGTAACTGGAGTATCAATGGGTAAGCTGGATGGACATCTAGACTTTTGAAATTCAGGAATTCAGACAAGTAATTCTAGGTTCATAGCATAGGCATTAAATTCTTCCAAGATTGTCTTTAACTCTTGTTATTATATGTCTCTATTTCACAATATATTCCAAACATCAGGTAGATCAAAACTTTTTAATATTTATACTAAACCATTGTTTCATCTATTTTGAGGAAAGCTTCTTGGTGTTAAGAAGATTCAGCACATAGATTCTATTATTTACATATTTATACAATTTATTTTTGTTTAACATATTTCATCCTGAAACACTTCACATTTAATTACTCTTCCTGCTTGTCTAGATAGTTTAAAATGCTCACAGCATAAGACAAAGTAAAGTGAGGGATAGAAGGGGCTTCTGAAGAGTAACAAAAGCAGACCAAGGTGCCATGATGTTGCAGCCAGGGGCTGGGTGATAGGGGAGGCACCAGCTGCTGGCCAGGAGACATGTCCTGAGTAATGGATGTCACAGAAAAACAGGCTGGGAGAGCCAGAGAGAAAAAATTGTGGTTTGCTTCATAGCAAGCAAAAAAGGACGTGTGAAAGTGTTTATTGTGCATAAAGAACATGAGTAGGTTTAGGCAGAGAAGGGATTGTGGAAAAGCCCTGCCGATCGGGCAGGCACACATGGACCTCTGGTTTAGCACTATAATTTGTAATTGGAATGATTTGTAATTGTAATTATTAACATCTTCAGTATGCTCATGTGCTATACAAGGTCTGTGCTCAGTCACCAGGGCTCCAAGATGCAGTTGATACAGGCTGGGTCTTTTCACCTCAGTGCTCCAGCAAGCTCTGCAGGGCCAAGACAGAGCTCGCCACCCGGGCGGCAAAGAGCAGGGCTGAGATCCCATGACTCACTTCTAGTCATCACAGGCCCTAGCATGAACAACCTTTGGAGATTACTTAGTTATTTGGTCCTCTTTCCTAGTCACATATTTTTCCTAACTTGACCCTATAGACAAAAATCTCCCGGAGGCACAGGCTGGCTCTTGCTGTATGAAATGCTTTGTAGAACCTTAGCTGAGATCTGCAGGTTTGCTTAATGAACAATCCTAATTAAATATACCAGCTGACAAAAACAAAACACTACCTTTCCATCTACCTTGCAGGAAATAGACACAAAAAGAGTAACACAGTCTCTCTCTTCCAATAACTGCTCAGATGGACCTTTGTTTAAATGTCAGCAGAACTCGTTTCCTTTTACTTACTAGCTCAGAAGCTCTTTAATCTTACATCTCCTGAGCTCAGGAACAGGAAAGAAAAAAATCAGAGGTGAATTAATAGGAACAGCACATGGGAGATTCCCAGATATTCCTCATGTAATAAATTAACCTTTGAGCAATCAGACTCACTCAAGTAGTCCAGTTTCTCAAAGAGCTGAAGGCAAGCTGTACAAAAGCTGGGAAGATTTTAATTTTGCTGATTTCTAAATGGGGAAGTTCAGGGGGAAAACTTTGGAGGAGATTTTTCATTTATGTCTGAAATTGCCAAGCAGTGAATGGGAAGTTTCTGAAGTGGTGCAAAGCGGGACAGGTGCTTCTGTGCTCCCAGGGCTGGTGTGTGGACTGCTGTGACCAAACCAAGGAATGTGAGCCATGGATGAAGGAGGCCAAATGCAAGACAGAGGCATGATTAAAAGCTTTGAGACTGCAGTGGGCAAAGCATTACCAAGAATGCTCCCCTCAACACCAGCAATTAAGGTAGTGAGATTCACAGACCCAGGAGAAGCCAAAGAGGCTGAGTTTGAGCTGAGTACGTGTGCGCCCACAGTAATTATATTATCCACACATATTAGTCTCGTAATTTTAATTACATAAATGTATTTTTCCTCTTTAATGAGCATAGTTTATCCATTTAAACTGATCGTTTCAATTTTACAGGCAGTGATCATAGGATCTAATATGCAGAGAGAAAATTTCCTGTTGGCATATTTTACACCACACAGATTGAAGAAAAGATACTTTTTAATCCTCAATCAATATCTGAAGAGCATGCAATTAGCAGATACCAAGGTAGTTAACATAAATCTGCAAGTTAAAGAGCCAATTCATTCTGATTTATAACACATAGAGTAATAATTTCATCATCTCTCCCAGAAAGCATCTGAAGCTTTGTAGCATGAAGATGTCAAAATTGTACTTAAGATTGTTCAGAGTACTGAATTGTAGTGGTTATTGCCTTTTGGTTCTTTGAAGTGTGGCATAGCACATGAAACAGTCCCCATTATAATACCCTGCTCTTCTCCGTAGAGGTCACTGGATAACTTAAATCAGTCTTGGGTGAAATATTAAAAGGAGATTGTCAATTGTAATATGAACAATTCTCTTTTTCCCCCCCTCACTTGTCCTTTTGCAACATGAACATTTTGTAATAGAAAAAAATTCCTTTAAGGGGAGAAAGATCCTTGGCATCATTTGTGCAATTCATGTCAATCAATAGCCAAATAAATTAACTGCCTGGTACGCATACATGGAATAATAATCTAACATATTTTTGCAACCCAAGTCTGCTTCCTCATATGCATTTTTTTTGCACAGGATCAGGTTGGTTGCTGCTGAAGTTTTGTGGCTGTGAAAATTTATTACCCACAGAGTCAATCTGCATTCTGGCTGCCAAGTCTGAATAAATAGAGTCATTGTGCTTGTCTGGAATATGTAACCAAAGTTCATCGAGTCAGCTTGACTTTCACATCCCACGAGATTCATAAAAGCCAACACCCTGGTATGTGCTCTTGATTCCTGCCAAAATTTTGTAAAATTGTATAAACAGAAGTTGAAGAAGCAATCAGAACACACTCCCAGGGACATGGCTCCGCACTCCAGCCCCGGCTGATTCAAAAGGGAAGACACAAGATTTTTCTTTTCAAAGAAAAAATAGTATGACTACTCTCCTGTGGTGGCAGGTAACCACAGGGGCTTAAGATGCCCCCCTCGCAGAGTGCACAGGGAGGCAGCAATCAATCCTCTCAGGTTCCTTAATTTCGCTCATGTGTCCTGCACCGAAGGAAGAGATCAGGCAGCATTTGCCTGCAAGTGGCCACCCTCCTCAAGAGAGGACAAGGACAGACTGGCCCTGTAGGGTGTGAGCGGTGTAAGCGAAACCAGCCCCTCCGCAGGCAAGCCAAGACAAACAGAAAGCCTTGTCATTTCACAGGAGACCTCGGAGGAAGAGCAGCCTCAGAAAGTTCACAGCTTTAGCACAGTAAAATAAAAATCTTGTCAGCCTGATCTAGCTGGCCACCCAAGCCCCAAAGGTGATGGAAGCCCACCCAGCCCGGCGCCTTCCTGGGCATCTTGGGGTTGCCTCCCACCCACGGCAGCCTAGGGACAGTCAGGGTGGGCTGCTGGCCCTGGGGGACTTGTCCATGCTTCAGCATCACCC